TTATGTTTTTCATGCACAGTTTCTTTTGAAACATATTTTATTTAATATTGGCATGTGACACGTATGAAAAGCTTTGCTTTTTAGCTGAAATGCGTTTTTGAGTATTTAAGTAGCAACGGTTGCTTTGGGAACTATTGCCGTCCTTGTTACTTTTTCTGCCTGCTTCGCATGTTTTTTTTCAGCAGATGCACCTACTATATTCTTGTAATCTTCTTTGAACTTATCTCGTTTCTCACGATATCGACTTGGATATCTAGTCTGCAAAAAAGTCTTAGTCAATCAACGATTTCTAACGCAAAAACTATAAACGATAGCAACATACTCCTATATAATCGATGACACTCGCGACAACAAATAAAAATTGTGCTTCCCTTTGTAAACATGATGCTCTCTGATCGCGAAGGTGACGAAACATTTCTACGAGCTACAGATTGCAACTTCAGACAATAGCAGTAGCATTGGAAGAACTGTCTAAGACCTACGTCAACCGGTAGTTGGTTGGTAAATAAACGTTGCAGTATGACGTCTATGAGTATAACAGTTCCAGCTCTTCCCACACCAGATACGCAGTGCACCACGACTGGTCCAGTGGCAATTCTTTCAGACTGAAATCCATGAAGGTTGTACTCATTAGTTGGATGTTTTACAGCGAGAAAAGTTAGGTGCATAAAAATGAACAACTGTAATTTGGAACTACACATACTGATCCGACTATGCGCAGCATGCGTAATATCATAGTGGTTGACGGCGATTTTCCACTATCACTTTTTGCTTTTATGAGTTTCAGTAGGAGGCTGTTAGAGCAACCGTCTGGCAAAACTTCGAGAGTATAGACAACGAACTTGTTTTCCTCATCCATCTGGAAATCTGACCACTGGTGATACATAAAAAGTGTAGCAACTTACTTTCTTTGTGTTGACAAACATTCTTCCATAATTGGTGAATTCACCGGGTTTAGCTGGAAAGTATGGCACCAGTCTATCCGTATCTTCAATCTCCTGAAAAATTTGCCTTATGATTTGTCTTTGCGACGAAAAAAGGTTGGCTAATCAGATTGAGCACTGTCAGGTGCTTAAACATAAGTTGCCAGACAGCACGTCGCTTCGCAAATTGGAGTCATTACCGAACAAAGATATCGTTTCACCTAATTCTGCTTTTGCGTGCTCGAATCGTTAAGAATAAACAAAATATATTTGCATTACTGTACACGCATTTTGAACATTTCTATCGCACTTCCTGGTGAAGAACCATAAATCGACTTATGACAATTCGCATGACCCGTGGTTACCTATATAAAAGTCAGGCGATTGCTTAAAATCGGAAGTAGTTTATCTGAACAAATGCTGTATTCAGGCAACAGCGTAATCCTATACTCATTCGAGACTTGGAACATCCGAATGAACTGGCTAGATCAAGGAACTCCAAATCTCAAACACAGCTCATGATTTCTACAAAAAACGTGATTTGAATCTGCAAACGGCAACATCATGACTTTTTTCAAACTAGATTTTTTCAAAAGGAAAAGGAGTTTGTACTCAGTTCGGCGACTTTTTAAACATTACCGTAGTCACAGATGTACGGCAGGTACACGGCATGGGTTCAGTTTGTGAATATATGTAAAACTTTGCCCAGGTACTCTGATACGCTGATCATAGAAAATTTAGCATGGCAAATAATCTAACTGAGCGGAGTTTCCGCAAGATCTGGAATTTTGGAACATGAACGGATCCACAATATTAACCTCCTGCCGTGTACTGTAGTACTGTGCTACATGACGAATGAATTCTTTTAAACGTTATATTAAT